CTGAAGACTTTATTACTAACTCAGTCTCATTACTTTTTACTGATCTGTTCAGATTTTCTATTTCTTCATAATTCAGTCTTGGTAAATTGTACATGTGCAGGACCTTACTCATTTCTTCTAAATTACCCCGTCTGTTGGCATGTAACTGTTCAGTTTGTTATAATCATTAGGTTCTAAAAAAAAGATTTTAGTTTTTATTTCTTAATTCTATGTCTATGTGGGGAGGGGGATGATATGTACATGGGAATGCAGGTTCTCTGAGAGGGCAGAGGAAAGCCCCAGATCCCCTGGACTCCCGAGTTACAGATGTGATGGGTGCTGGGAACCAAACCTGGGTCTTCTACAGGAACAGTACATGCTCTTAACTGCTGAGCTGTCTCTTCAGCCCCTCGTTGACAATTTTTGATGGCCTTGGTTATACGTACATCAGCCTTTCACCTGGTGTCTTTTCCTTCCATCTGAAAGACTACTTTTAGGATTTGATGTGTTCAGTGCAAATCTGATGGCAACATCTCTCACTTCTGTTTCTCTAAAGAAGTCTTTTGATTTCACATTGGAAAGAATTTTCTTTACTAGTTTTAGAATGCTAGTTGATTTTTTTTCCCCCTCTAATACTTAATGTCTTTCCATCACCTTCTAGTTTGTATATTTCTTAGGAGAAATGTACAACAGTTCTTATCTTTGTTCTTTTGTGCATGGTGCTTTTTAAAAATATCGAACTCACAGAGATCCAACTGCCTCTGCCTCCCGAGTGCTGGGACTAAAGGCATGAGCCACCATGCCTGGCAGGAGCTTTGATTACTCTTAGAGGCAATTTTATCACTGAAAAGTCCCATATATCTGGAGCTTTTTTTTTTGAGACGTAGCCCTGGCTGGTGTGGAACTTGCTATGTAGACAAGACTGGCCTCAAGCTCAGAGATCTGTCTGCCTGCCTCTGCCTCCCAAGAGCTAAAATTTTAAAAGATTATTTCTTTATTATTAGGGTGGGGGGTTGGGTTCCATGATGTGCACATGCACCACCTTGCTCGGCTCTGGGGAGGATTTTAAAAATTACTAATTGGGGCTGGAGAGATGGCTCAGTGGTTAAGAGCACTGACTGCTCTTGCAGAGGACCCAAGTTTGATTCCCAGCACCCATGTGGCAGCTAACAACTGTCCTTAGCTCCAGTTCCAGGAGATCAACGCCCTCTTCTGACTTCCTTGGGCACTGTGCCACACTTACATACATGGCAGGCAATAAATCCATGCACATAAAATAAAAATAATAAAGATTTTTAAAAGATTCTTTTTGGTTGGGTGTAGGATTGCTTAAGTGTGCATGTGGAGGCCAGAGATAATATCAGATGTCTTCCTCACTGCTATCTACCTTATTTTTAGAGATATATTGAGAAAAGAATATGGGTGTGCAAGGGCCACGGCTTGTATGTGGAGGTCAAAGGACAACTTACAAGAGTTGGTTCTCTTCTTGTACCATGTGGGTCCCAGACATTGAACTCAAGTTACCAAGCTCAGTGGCAAGTCCTATC